TTAATTATTAATTTAATAAAAAAAGATAATAATCTTATCTTTAAATTTTATAAGAGGTCAATTCACTCTAATTTTTAAGCAAACGGAGCTACACGTGTTCTGCTGAGCGAAAAATGTACCATGTTACGCATTTGTAAGACAGGGACAACACATGCGAGTATCACGTCCTCTTAATAATCATAATATAGATGAAGTCTTGTGTCTGATAAAYGACTCAATTAGTAGCTTAGATATAATATTTAGTGAAACTTGGAACAGCACGGGGTTTGTACCGCAAGGTATAACTGGTTTTTCGAATTTTAAAAGTAAAAATAACTTTAACCAAAATGATGGAGTTCTTATCTATATAAATAATAATCTTCAYGGTATATCTGTTGAACAACCATTGTTCTCTGAGGCCAGTTGCTTAAAAATAAATCTAAAAGCAAATAATAAACAAATTACGATACTAGCCACATACCGTTCCCCAAAATCGAATATAAACATTTTTCTATCTGAACTGAATACTTCAAGGTAATTATAATTACCTTGGAATACTTATTTACCTCGGGTGTCTTAGAAAATAATTGTATATGGATTGGTGATATAAATATTGACATAAACATAGACCTTATACTCAGTATAAGGTCTATGGACATAAAACAATTTTTATAACATAAAGCCGCTAATCATCGCATTATCATTGTTATATTGTTATCATGTATATTTTCCACKCATGCGCATTTGTTATCATAGTTGTCGGGGATATAGCCACAGCGTATTTTTAATTTTATCCCTCTGTCACCAGAGTTCAGACTTCAGAACAATGTCGAAAAATCTAGGTRAGTTACTGAATTCATATTTAAGTATTGTGTTCTTTGTGTTATGCTATGATGAAATAAATTCATGTTTGGTTTAGTGCAATGCCAACAACACCCAGATGCACCATTGATTGAAGATTACAGAGCTGGCGATCAAATATGTTCCGAATGTGGTCTTGTGGTTGGTGATCGRGTAATAGATGTTGGTTCTGAATGGAGGACATTCAGTAATGACAAAGGCAGCAATAGTGCTGATCCTTCTCGTGTTGGAGGGGCAGAAAATCCATTGCTCAATGGTTCTGACTTGTCTACACTGGTTGGTCCTTCTAGGGGTGACGCATCATTTGATGAGTTTGGTGGTATGAAGTATAAAAATAAGGGTATGGTTTGTTCAACCAATCGTTCACTACTTAATGCCTATAGGGAAATTGGCCTTATGGCTGATCGCATAAATTTGCCAAGGAATATAGTGGATAGGGCCAATGTACTATTCAAACAAGTGCACGACGGCAAAAATCTTAAAGGTCGATCAAATGACGCGATTGCTTCAGCTAGCTTGTATATTGCTTGTAGGCAAGAAGGAGTACCACGTACATTCAAAGAAATATGTGCTGTAAGCAAAGTTAGTAAAAAAGAAATCGGAAGAGTTTTTAAATTAATATTGAAGGCGTTGGAAACCAGTGTTGATTTGATAACAACTGGAGATTTCATGTCAAGATTTTGTTGTAACTTGGGATTACCAAACATGGTCCAGAGAGCAGCCACGCATATTGCTAAAAAAGCAGTAGAATACGATATTGTACCAGGTCGTTCTCCTATATCTGTAGCGGCTGCAGCAATATTTATGGCGTCCCAAGCATCTGATGAAAAACGTTCTCAAAAAGAAATTGGGGACATTGCTGGTGTTGCAGAAGTCACAATTAAACAGTCATATAAACTGATTTTGGCTAATGCAACTTTACTATTCCCAGAAGACTTTAAGTTTGTGACTCAGATTTCTGATCTTCCAACATCCTAAATATTCCTTATAAATAAGTAAGTATTATTCAACTAAATTACAGTTATGAAAAATCCTACAAATATATATTTTTCATAATTTTACCGTACAATTTATTTTTATTAAGGTTTGGACTAAAAAATTAAGATACATGTGTTGTTTGTATTTATATTTTTATAAAATAAACAAATATTTGTCTTTACTATATAAATTATTTTATTAATAAATAGCACAATACATGAGTAATACTACTTTGTAACAACTACAAGTACCTAAATCATACATTTTAGAAATATACTAAGTAGTAAGTATAAAATAATAGCTAATAATGTTGAGATTTTTAAGACTTAAACAATTTTGATATTKTTAATTATTATATCCCAGACCGCCGTGGTTAGGAATATATAAAGAAAAGAAAATGAAACATTTATGTGATCTACCGGATCGTGTGACCTACCAAATTGGGTATTCGCATAATATTTTTAGT